TCCGCATTATTAAAAATAAATATAATTATAGTTTGACTTGAAGTTCTTTTAGTTGTCTAATAAACCACAATTTCATTTAAGAGTACTCTTAAACAAAAATTTGGCAGCAAATAATGGCTTAAAATTGAGACTTTCTATAGAATTTTGCCTTCTCTTCATACTTAAATTTATCCTTGTACAATCTAGTTTCAACTCAAACTCAATCACCACTACCACCAACAACAATATAGCAGCAACAGTAACAACAACAACAAAAAAGAATTTACCAACAACAAAAATATCATCCATGATAAAAAAAGAAGAAGCAAGATTAAAGAACTTGTCCAAGTAAGCTTATTAATAGTCCCAAGTTATTTGACTTGCCTTCAAGAACTTTAGAATTCACATGCATTTCAAGAGCGACTTCTATCTTTTTGGAATCTTGAACATTAGGTTTTTAGCTTCTATTTTCATGAAAGAGGACAAAAGTTGGTTACCAAAATTGTATCACTTCAAATCAATTTTCCCCAAACCATAATTTTTGCTTTTAGGACTACTAGAACTAGAAACTAGAAAGTGCATGGAGTATTGTGATAAATAAAAGGCCAGTCTCATACCCTCTAGCAACTAGCTAGCAAGTGCCTAACCAAGACTCAATTGCAAAATTAAATGTAGGTAAGTCTGTTCAAAACCTCACAATGTAACCATACAATTGCTTAAGCTTTAGGCATTCATCAATTCAATACAACCATGCATTTAACCATTGAATTTAAATTTGAAAGCAAAATTCCAGCAATTAAATGATAAAATAACAAGTCTACTCATACAAAAACACAAACACCTTATGTCTTGAATTTGTAAATGAGCAAAAAAATTAAAATAAGAAAGGGCTAAAAGAAAAAAAATCAGAAATTAAAATCAGAAACAATGGAAGAAATTAGAAGGCAGAAAATATCAAAAATTAAACACAAAAATGGAACCAATGGAATAATCATTAGAAGCCGTCCATGCAATTAGAGAGACCAAAGACCAAAACAAACTTGGGAGAGAGTGTGATGAACACTTGGCAAAATTACACAGGGAGGAAGAGAGAGGGGTTGACAACAATGGAGCTTCAAGATTGACTTGAGATTTTGAGATTTGAGTTTTGGGATTTCGTCAAGTAATGGAGTAGAGATTTTGAGCTTATGAGATTTTGGGATTTAAAGAACACTAGCGTGCGAGAGGTTTTTAGGTTCTGCAACTCTATTTAAAAATTGATATCAAGAGTTAGAGATTTAATAGTAGACTGTAAATAGGACGGTTCGTCGAAATAACTATCCTATAATGCAACAACATAGAGGACGGTTCTCACTTACAACTGTCCTTTATTCAAGGTTTTAAAACCGGACCGATCATTGAATCGGATGAGGCACTGGTTCACGGTTCATTGGTCGAACTGTGGTCGAACCGGGGTCAAACCGTTAATATTAATTAATATATTTTAATTTATATATCATAATTAAATAAAAAATACATTTAAATATGCATTTTTTTCAAAAAATATTATAGATGCTTGATAATATATTTTTTTTTGATAAATACATAATTAATATTAATTATAACTGAACTTTTCATTTAAATATCAAGAAAGATGTAATTTAATTTTAATTTTAATTTATTTTTTAATTTTTTCCGGTTCTTTCATGAGAACGGTTCGGTTTTACCGGTTTTTGACCGGTTTAACCGGTTGTTGATCGGTTCTCTGCTGATCGGTTTTTAAGGGTCGACCGAACCGGACCAGGAGCCAGTTCCCGGTTCAACTGGTTGAACCGGCGGGTTCGGTCTGGTTTTTAAAACCCTGCCTTTATCTACTAATATTTTTTTTAAATCATTTTTTAACTTCTAGAAACACATATAGGATAATTTCCAAGGGAACTGTCCTATATTTTGTTTCATATCAGGTGATTCATTGATAAACCATCCTATTTGTGTTCTAACGTTCCATGGGCCATAGCTCTATTTGCTCATATAGGATGGTTGTGACTACAACCGTCCTATATGAGGCATCTTATATTAATAATTTTATAGTAATGAATCATAATTTCTAACTTTATAAATTAATTATTCTTTCTCTTATGAATGCAGTTCATTTATCCTTTTTGATTATCTTATTTTTATATTTATTTTTCAATTTATTTTATTTCAATTCTTTCTAATAACCAAATGGACTTATGGCTCTGCAAAGGAACGGAGACTAGAAAAAACAATGAGCAAGGGACATTGCGCGTTTCTCACTCTCAAACCCATCTTTCTAATAATTTGATGGAAATCATGTTCCGTCTATAATAAATTAAATTAGATTTAATTGCCAGAAACCTTTGATTCAAGTGGCACACAACTTTATTATCCTACCTCTTGATGCAAGATTTCAAGGATCAAATCCCTGTAAGGTTAAAGGGACAAAAATTATGGATGTATGTAAGGGTTTATTGTGTGGTGTGAGACCCCCTTTCTTGTAGAGAAGTGTTATATAAGATTAAAAAAAATTTAAATTATATTTAATTATATTAACAATCCCCATTAACCCAATATTAGTTTGGTTACACAAACCACACGTATTCAAGTACATATAAGGACAGAATGAGGGGGGAAATGAGTGAGGGCCGATGCACACATTTCTCTCATTTTATATGATCTTTCTCTCACAATTACACCTAGAGGCTTGAGATAGCAAAATGGGTTGGCCCGGCTAAGAAGGGTCGGACTTGAGAAACTCGCTTATTTAAAAAGTGCCGTATTAGTAAAGTTTGACCCTCATTTGCAGGCAGCTTAGGCCTGCCTTACATGTGATTTAGGTCCTTTTATGTATTTTTAATGGTCGTTCTCTTTCAAATAAATACATATTTTGATACTAATAGGCAGTCGGAGTAGTAACAAACTAAAATAACCAATGATAAATGCAAATTTTCTGCTAGCCAGCAATTGAAATCATAATTAAATTCTTTTAACTTCAATTGTGCGATACTTAAGGTTGAACGAAGCTATGAGCTAAAATATTAAGTGGAAGAAAAACCGAGAGGTTGAACGCAACGATGAGAGGCTAAGGGTTGGAGTGAGACTGACTGGAGTTGGAGGCTGGAGCGAATGATAACAGTGAGATTGACTATTGAGTGCCGTGCGAGGCAGTGGGTGGATTTAATAACACGATATGTGAAACTTCATATTAGATAAAATTAAACTTAATAATTAATATATAATAAAAAAATTTATATAATCCTGAATATTGATATATCTTTTGAATTAAGATATTGTATTCTTCCACTACTCTTATCCATCTATTCTCTACTGTCATTTTCCGGTGGTCATTTTTCATTCCTTATTAAAACAATGTTACATGATAGCCGTGAAGCAAGTTGATCAACTTTCTTAAAATTACCATTAATATAAAAAAACAACATTGATAAAGAGAATATGATTACTTCCTCTGTTAAAAAATATAAGATATTTTTAACTGAATCTCACCCTCAATGAAATAGTTACTTGTTTTCAAACTAATTCTACTTTTTCATATTTTTTCCTATCTAATAGAGTGTTTCACTATAAAATAAATATAAAATAATTTATTTAATAGAGACACTTTTGGAAAAAGACAATGATTACACTTTGAAAGACATTTTTTAATATTCAATTTCTTAAAAAATGCTTTATATTTTCGAATGGAGGGAGTATCTTTATTTTATTTTATTTTCTTTTCCCCAAAGAGTTATACAATTATTAAATCAAACAATGTACAGCTTCTTTTAATTATACAACCTTTTTTTAATTATCACACCAAATTTTTAATAGGCTTCATGAAACTCTGTTTTTTTTTTCATTTATGCATCTTTTAATGAGATCTAAATTTAAAAAAGCCAAGCATAAAAAACAACAACAACAATAAGCCTTTATCCCACTAGGTGGGGTCGACTATATGGATTGCAAGACGCCATTGTGCTCTATTGTTTATCAAGCTTTTAGAAATATTATTAATTAAGAGATCGTGTTCAACAACTTTCAAGAGTATTTTTTTAGGCCTTTCTCTACCTCTGTTAATCGGACTCAAAGTTATATGTTCCACTCTTCTCACTGGTGCCTCCCTTGGTCTTCTTTATACATGCCCAAACCATCTCAATCGATTTTCTACTATTTTTTCTCAATAGGTGCCACTCTCACTTTTTTGCGTATGTGCTCATTTCGAATTTTATTTTTACGTGTATGTCTGCACATCCATCGTAACATTCTCTACTACTCCAACTTTATGCTCTTGCTGTCCTGTTAGAGTCCAGCATTCACTACTATATAACATTGTCGGTCTGATAGCAGTGCGATAAAACTTTCCTTTAAGTTTATTAGGCACCTTACGGTCATAAATAACTCCTTTAGCTTTTCTCCAATTAAACCACCAAGCTTGAATTCTATATGAAATATCTCCACTGATTTCGCCATCATTTTGAATAATGGCTCTCAAATATCTAAAATTTTCTACTTGAGGTATAATATGTTCAACATTTTTTTAATGGACCAAGCATAAAAAACAAGGGAAAAAATATGTTCAACATTTTTTTAATGGACCATGGTGACTCCAATGCATATCCCATACAGTTTGGAAAACCATTGTATATCACATATTTTAATGACATTTAAATTTTAAAACCAATGATTCTTGCCTAAATGACGACGAATCGCATGGGCAATTAAGAATATTTAATCTTACAAAAATTCTTATTAAGAAACTAAAGTATTACAGTATGCTCTGTACGTAATTGCAGCAAATGCATACACGTTTGTTCACACATCATATTTGATCTCAACCACTATATTACGTGTTCAATATATCAACGGTCTGGAATGAATATTCAGAGATGGATATAGATAATGCATATCACGGGAGGATCTGGGTACCTTATAATACATACATACATACATACATATATATAACACATAATTGACATTGTAGAATCAAAACCCTCCTCCTAACAATGCTCCACAACTTTGCCCAAATGGTCGCCAGCTTCCTGGTTCTGGTCTTGTTTCTATATTATTACCATAGCAAACGATGCTGTAAAGATCACCCCCTTGTCACAGAATGGCCTATACTCGGCATGTTGCCACCATTTCTTGGTGATCTGTGCCACTTCCAAGACTTGCTAACTCACGCTTTGCAAACACAAGGTGGTACTGCAAACTTCCATGGACCATCGTTCACTGAGATCAACTCTCTCATGACCTGTGATCCCATGAACGCACATCACATCATGAGCAAGAACTTCGGCAACAACGTGAAGGGGCCTAAGTATCGCAGGATTTTCAGAGCTTTCGGAGAAGGGGCTCTTGTTGCAGATTTAGACTCGTGAAAATACCAGAGGACCATTCTCCATTCGTTGTTTGCGACAAAGAGCTTCGACAAGTTTCGTGAGAAGATCATTCGAGAGAAGGTGGAGAGCTGTCTGATTCCTCTTCTTTATCATGTCGTCAGGCAACCGCTTGACGTGGATCTGCAAGACGTGTTCAATCGCTTCAGCTTCGACACTATTAGCTCCGTACTCTTGGAACGCGACCCAAAGTGCCTTGCTGTTGATTTTCCAGAAATTGCATGGGAGAGAGCTTTAAATGAATCCGAGGAGTTTTTACTCTACAGATACGTAGTGCCTAGAAGCGTCTGGAAGCTTCAGAGGTGGCTCGGAATTGGACCAGAGAAGAAAATGGTCAAAACAATCGAAACTTTTGACCAATTCCTCCTTGGAAGTATAGCATCAAAGAGAGAAGAGATCAGGCAAAGGAAGGAAATGAAGAAGAAAGAGGACGATGATCATGACTTGCTAATGGCATTACTGATGAAGGAGGAAGAAGGAAAACAACACTTTGATGACAGGTTCTTGAGGGACTCTGCTTTTACTCTATCTCTTGCAGGTAGGGAGACTGTAACTCTAGCTCTCACATGGTTCTTTTCTTTTGGCTTGTTACTACAAACCCTTTGGTGGAAGCCAAGATTCTTGAAGAGATCAAACAAGGAAAGGAAGTGAAAGATCAATTATATCTCCACGGTGCTCTCTGCGAAGCTTTGAGGTTGTATCCACCCATACCCATAGTACGAAGGCAAGCAATCAAACAGGACAAACTTCCCAGTGGACACGAGGTTGGTCCTAATACTGTGATACTATTATCTTTGTATGCCATGGGAAGGTGTGCAGAGATATGGGGAAAAGATTGCTTGGAATTCAAGCCTGAGAGGTGGATCTCAGAGAAAGGAGGCTTTCTTCAGGTACCATCGTACGAGTTTTTTAGTTTCACTGCAGGACCCAGGATTTGATTAGGCAAGAACCTGTCCTTCATTCAAATGAAGATGGTGGCTACTGCTATCTTAAGGAATTATCAAGTCAGTGTGGTAAGAGATCATCCTGTTACTCTTGCAGTTTCAATATTGCTTAAGATGAAGCATGGCCTCAAAGTTCGCATCACAAAAAGAGAACAATTAATATATGGAGAGGCAGAAGAAAGTAAATTATATTTGTGTCAAATTTGAAGTTAATGTAGTTGAAATTATATATATGTCTCTGTGTTTTTCTTTGATAATTAAGTCTGTATTAGATGGGTAGGATCTTTCTTGCTCTCTCCTTCCTGTCCTCACACAGGTGGGTTTAACAAAACATGTAAGGAAAAATAGGACCCAGGAAAGGACGGAACGGAGGAGGTAGATCTTGCTTTTGATGAATGAATAAAGTATAAGAAAGCCAATGATTGGCTTGCATGTGATGCTATAAATTAAGAGACGCGCCTGTTTATGATAGGATATTTCTCCACCTTTCCTTTCCTTTGCTGTGAGTTCTTAATTATATGGCTTAGATATGAATGTTTGCAAAGAAGGGGTGAATAATTATTAAGAATATAATGGTCTTCTGTAATAGATTTAATTTGTCCTTCTATATGTGTATGTATACATATGTCATATGTTAACGTTACAGAAGGCATGATAGATAAGGCAGTGGGGTTGATATACAGCAAGGTAAACTGTTGGGATATCTACTCTTAATGGATCAGGTCTTAGTACAAGCCCAATTATAAAATGGGGCTTTGTCAGAATATTGAGAAAATATGGGTTTTTACATGCGATATACTTAGGCTCTTAAATAAAATTTTCTCTTGGTACTTGGAAAATAATGGGAACAGTTATCAACTGTATACGCAGGATTTCCGTTTTCCTTCACGTGTGAAGGGTATTTGAGAAGGCAAAACCATTTTTCCGAGCACACTGTGTGAGATGTTGAGGGAAAATTATCGCTTCTTGAGTGCTCTCCTCTCTCCTCTCTTCTGGTCGGTGCATTTGTTATGAAGCAAGGACTAGGTTTGAGTAACTCCGTTCATCTGCTTAGAGGAATTATTCACTGCAACTCATAAGTATGTTTTCGGACTCCATATTCCTGCATAAACTCAAATTAAAATAAAATAAAATAAAATTAGCCTCTCAAACTGAAAGCCTCTTCAGTTATAATTGCGCTTTGATTATGGATGCCATTTTTTGGTTTGACGTGGTATTTATATTTATTTGAATTCTTTACTATGATATCTTTTACTCTGAAATATATTTTTTTTAAAAAAATAAAAGATGTGCTCTTTACATTTTATAGTTGATTAGGACTTGCGTGAACAAATTATATTATCTAAACTTATATAGAGCCGCTGGCGCTGCTTCACAGGGACAAATTCGGAATATAATGGTTATTGTGTTCTTATTTTTCATTTCAATTGTTATATTCTACAATTCATTACAGTGACCCAACCCAAAAATTCAACATTAGCTCAAAGATTTCAGGTTTATAATTTCAACAGCAAACTTCCTATAATAACTGTCCAATGGCTCATAACTTTTCTTGTGAAAAGGATTTTAGGAGTGTCCTAATTATATAAATGGGTGTGTTGAACACCCCATTAAGCTAGGTTTTTGAGGAAAAAATAATAATCTCATGACAAAATGATATTAAAGTTAGACTTGAGTTTTGCCTAATTAGCATGTCCTTTGATAGGACATTTGACATGGGCATCATAGATTAACCGGGGAAGTTGTTACATCCCACACTAAAAGTATTTCAAGAGGGTCCTAACCATATAAACGAGTGTATTGCATATCTTACTGAGCTAGGCTTTTTATAAGAGAGTAATGGTCCCATGACCTATGCTTTGGACTGTAATGCCAACAGTTTTGATAATTAAGGCTGGTTTCATTATTTTATTAAATTTATTAAAATATTAACATATAAAACAATAAAGGTTTATTAGTAATAATTAGAATTATTATTTTCAATATTAATAAATAAAATATATGATGAGATTTAAAATTAAAATGAATAGTAAATAATAAAATAAGTATAATTACTTTAATAATTAAATATTTTTGGGCAAATAATCAATACATATTTTGAGGGAAAGGATAATGTTGGGTCTATATGTCTTGTGACCCAATCAAATGGACATATATCATTCATACCCTATCTAATAAAAACATGTCATGTCAATAAATGTAAATATAAATTGATTTTATTATTGATGATGATAAAAAAAAAAGAAAGAAAGTAAAGAGGCATGCATACCATTCAAAAAGTAAAACCATTAAAAATAATAAGGGTTTTTCAATATAATAAATACAAGTAGCACGTAAAGTATCACCAAATATGTATATTAGTTCAATAGAGTGGATAATATGTTACCTTTAAGGCTCTATTTGTATGGTGAAAGAGGTTTTAATAGAATTAAAATTAGAATCGAAATCATAATCAAAATAGAATTGAGTTGTAAAAAGATGTTTGATATAGAGATGAAATCCTAATATAATTTTAATAAATATATATATTTAAAATAGGAAAAGACAAAAATGTACTATCAATAAAAAAAATGGGAGACCTCTCCTTCATCCATCTCCTTTAAAGTCGATGGCAACAAACCACATCTACCGCTACTAGATTAGAACAAGAACCCTGGTGCATAACAAAAGAAGAGCAACAACATTACAAATAATAACCAATTATAGAGCAAAGAAAAAAAATCTACTAAAAATCAAAACTTAAAAAAAAAAGGAAATGTCATCATTGGAATGTACGGTCTCCATTATTAATCTCCACTTAACTTCAAAATCAAGGTAATTAAGAAATTAACTCCAAAGAATTGCCAAGTTTGTAAATTTTATAATAAAAGATTTCAAAACCTTCAAATCACAATTTAGTGCAAACCAAAGCATAATAAATTTATAGAAGTTTGAGATATCGTTTTAAAGCAAAGTATTTGCATTTCCATTGAGAAAACAACAATTTAGTGCAAAACAGCAGAGGTGTGCCATGGCACGTTTGCCTCTGTGCCATGTGCTACGGCTCAAACTCTTCATATGCACCACGATATATTGCACAATTTTTATAGCACTGTTGTTTTCATATGATAGCAATTAGGGCGGACTTTTGATGTGCTCCATTTCTTAGTTCGATGTTCGAATGAGGCATTCTAAGTGTGTACAGAGAGCTTTTTTTAGCTCTAGCTAATGGCACTAGTTTTCCAATTATATTATTTCTCAATAAAAAATTAGACACTTATTTCTTAATTCACTCCTTTTCACAATTCAAACACAACTTAGGTATCATAAGTTCATTTAAAGTGCCAAAGCCCTAAATACAACCTAGACCACAATCAATAGACTATAATAAATTTATGCAATATATCACATCATACAATTACTACTTCTAACACATGTTCCATTCTCAACCCCTTAATCACAAAAAGAGAAGGGGAAGCCTTAATAGCATAAGTCATTTATTAAATCATTGTATACAATCAACATAATCACATAATTTTTCACCTCTCACTTGTACTAGTATTTTGGCCCTTTCTAAGTTTCACAATTAACATATACACAACCCAGGGCCCAAAATACATAATTAAACTTAACATTCATATAATGCAAGTAAGTAACTATGAGTTGTCCTAGTTAGCAATATCAAAATGGATTTATACGCATAAATATTCAAATTAAATGAGGCCTACCTAAGCCTCAGATTATTTCTCTCGATCTTGACTCAATGAGTTAGCTCTTGTAATATTAAAGAGAAAGGGGTGAGTACAACCACTCAGTAACTAAGGTTTATCTAACATTAATACAAGTCAATCAATTTAAATAAAAATGGCAATCTATTACCATACTCACATCATTCTAGTATGTTCAAAATATATATTCACATTTCATATCCATAACAGCATATATTCAAGAGATAATGGCATGATAACTCAATTTCATATTGATATAAAACTAATCACATGATTTTCATCATTAGATCATAATACAGATAACCATGTGCCCTTAATTCATAATATGCATGATCATACCTCTTTGATATCCTCCTTATGCCTTTAACATGAAACCGAGAGCTATACTATAACATCCCGAGTTTTAATTCCCTAATTAATTAAACCTAATTAGGATAATTAAGTAAATTAAAGTGGTGTATGGCTAGAGAGGTCTAATAATTATGTTTGATGCTATTTCAGCCTTAGTTATGGGTCTGGTATCGAGGCAAACCACTTGGGCATTGAAAGGAGAAGAAAAGAAAAAAAGTTGAAGTTGCTGTGCCACACACCGTAGCATATAGATTATCTGCCATGGCGCACAGCCATTTCTGAGTGAGGGAAGACCTCTCTATTTTCTGAACTTTATCAGACATGAAATGAGACAGAAAAAGAAAGAAGAGAAAAGAGAGAAAGAAGAGGTGAACTACAGCTTTGTTAGGGTTTGCTTGGGGGTCACTTTGAGAGTATTTTGAAGGCTACAAACACCCAAGGTAAGTATCATACTCATTAATCTTCCCTTTTTCTTTCACATTTATAAGTTTATAGTTAGGGTTTGATAGTGGAAGTGGGATTTCAATCCATATAGGTTATGGGTCTCAATTTGTTGACTCAAATGGAGTTAATGGGGGTAAATTAGATAATTTAAACCTAGGTATGATGAGTTTTGGTGTTTTAAGTTGTTAGGAACTATAAATGTCCAAAAATCCCATTTATTATGGGTGGTTAGAAGTTGTGACACCATTAATGGGAATTTAATGGCTCATTAATACTATTGGGAGCTAAAAGTAATTATTAAACTCAATAGTTAGGCTCCACCTCTTATAAAACGAATGTTGGATAGTTTAGGAATAAAGATGGAGGCTTCACTTGTTGAGTTTGTTATGTTGATGGAATTCAAATTGATTGATTGCAGCTTTGGCTCTTGGTCACCTATTGGAGTGGAAATTCAAGCTTGAAAGCTAGTGAATTGAGGGGTAAACCTTTGATCTCTTAAATGTTTGAGGTAACTAGGGGAAAAATCTACTTTAAGTAGTTATATGTTAATTGATTGCTAATTAGTTGTGAATGTGAAATTATAAATGTTTACATGCATGTGATTGGTTGTTTAAGTAAGAACTATATATT